TATGTGTTACAAAATTTATTTGTTTAATTGATCTTTCAGAAATATGTTTAATAAAAATTCAATTTTAAATTTTTAAATTTTTTTTTTAAATTTATCGTTTTTTTTAAAAAAAATTTAAAATTGAATTTTTATTAAACATATTTTAAAATTGAATTTTGAAAAATAGATCAAATTGTTGTTTGATCTATCAAATTCTTGTGATAGATCATAAACACTCATAAAATTTTTTCCACTATTGTTGTAAATTTTTTCCACTATTGTTATAAAATTTTTCACTAATAGTGTAATTTGTACCATTATTGTGGTAATTTTTTCACTACTCTTGTAAATTTTTCATTAATGTTGTAACAGAACAATCATAAAGAGAGAGAGAGAGACAGAAAGTCCATGATAGTAATGAATCCATTGAAGTTGTAAAGATTTTTACAAATTTGGTAAACATACCACTGAAGTTGTAAATATTCCCACAATTTTGGTAAATATTCCCACAAATTTAATGGTAGGTTTACTAAATTTATGGTATATTTACAACTTCAGTGGTATATTTACTAAATTTGTGAAAATATTTACAACTTCAATGGTATATTTATCAAATTTGTGAAAATCTTTACAACTTCAATGGATTCATTAATAGTCTATGATCGATCAAATATATGTTTAATCGATCATGGACTTTCTGTCTCTCTCTCTCTCTACACCACAAATTTGGTGAGAATATTTACTAAATTTGTGGGAATATTTACAACTTTAGTGGTATATTTATTAATTTTATGGGAATATTTACAACTTCAATGGTATGTTTACCAAATTTGTAAAAATTTTTACAACTTCAATGGATTCAAATATTTACAAATTCATGGGGAGATTTGATCGATCACAAACTTACTGTTTTTTAAAAACATTTGGTGGAGACTACTTCAAAACTTGTGATAGATCACAAGATTTTAGGATAGATCGCAAATATTTCAGAGATAAAAACAAATAATAATTTTGATCTATTACAAATAATAATTTTGATATATTCTAAAAAATAATAGTAAATTTTTAAAAAAAAATTAAAATTGAATTTTTACTAAACATATTTTTGATAGATCAAATACACATTTTTTTAAATTTGTTTTTAAATTTATCCATTTTTAAAAAAAAATTTAAAATTGAATTTTAACTCAAATTTTAAAATTGAATTTTGAAAAATCCAATTTTTATAAAAAATATTTTATAAAAAAATTTGATTTAAAATTTGATTTAAAAATTGATTTTATAAGTTTTCAAAAAAAAATGTAAAAAAAATATGTGTAATTGATCTATCAAAAATATGTTTAATAAAAATTCAATTTGAAATTTTTTTAAAAATTTATTATTATTTTTTTGAATATATCAAAATTATTATTCGGAATATATCGAAATTATTATTATTTTTATCTCCAAAATATTTGCGATTTATCCTACGGTCTTGTGATTGATCACAAGGTTGAAGTAGTCTTCCCCAATTTTTTTTGAAAAACAGTAAGTTTGTGATCGATCAAATCTCCCCACAATCGATCAAATCTCCCTATGAAGTTGTAAATATTTGAATACATTGAAGTTGTAAAAATTTTCACAAATTTGGTAACACATACTTTTGAAGTTGTAAATATTTTCACAAATTTGGTAAATATACAACTGAAGTTGTAAATATTCTCATAAAAAATCTATTGAAGTTGTAAATATTCTTATAAAAGTTGTAATTGATTCATTGAAGTTGTATATCTTCTTGGATTAGTTGTAAAATATTCATAAAATAAGCACACACAAGTATGTATTGATCAAATCTCCCCATGATCGATCAAATATATCTCCATGATCGATCAAATCTCCCTACGATTGATCAAATCTCCCTATGAAGTTGTAAATATTTGAATCCATTGAAATTGTAAAGATTTTTATAAATTTGATAAGCATAGCACTAAAGTTGTAAATATTCTCACAAATTTGGTAAATATTCCCACAAATTTTGTAATTTTATTCATTACTGTTGTAAAATTTTCACTAATGTTGTAATTTTGTTCACTATAATCGTAAACTTTCCACTAATGTTGTAATTTTGCCTTCAATTGACTTACTCAAAAATATGTCTTATCTTGTCATTTCAATGTCTTGTCTTGTTACTAACCGGTGTAGATATGTCATAAATTTAATAAACATACTATTAATGTTGTAATTTAAAACTTTTAGTATGATACCGAAATTTTCTATGGATGTACCGTAGCCTTGTCCATTATTCACACGAGAATACACAGCTGAAGTGGGTTGTTTGGTTGAGTACTGGGTTTTTTTGATTGCTGGAGATTTTCGAAGATCACTATCTAATTCCATCGTCATCATCGCCTTTTGTGAAATACGGATCTAACTTTTGGTATTGGCTGACCCAAATAGGTTGGTAAGACCAAATGGTATACCAAGTTAATAGTTGGATTAGTAATGATCTGTTTGAAAAGATAAAAAGTAAAAAATATTAAAAATATGAAAGATATATTTTTTATCCTAAAAGTAAAAATGATACACTTTTTTTTCTTTTATGGTTGGTACAATAGATGAAAAATAAAAATAATTAAATTTTTTTTTGTGCTTGGTAAGATGGAATTTAAATTTAAAAATTTAAAATTTTATATTTTAATTTTTTTAAAAAGTATACATACATATTTTATTATTTTACTTATATATGAAATTAATGTATATATCAAAGGATATATAGACAAAGAGTAATGCTATATGGACTTAAAAATTAGACTTGATAATCTCAACTATTTATTTTAACACAAATAATTAACTTTTCATCGACTTTCCTTCCAATTTTAGAGGGATTAATTTTTATAAGTTGGAAGGAAAGTTTATCCATCTATTTTTTCATAATTTATTAATTCCTTACTAAACAGTATGTTTTATCTATTTCTCAAACTTTCTATGCTTTCAACTTTTTATTCTTTCATTTTTTCATCATACCAAACGAAACATAAGTTCCAGTTACCCTCAAAAATTGTTATGTGATTTCGCAAATATTTTAATACACAACATTATTTTTAATATGTGTCTTTTCATGTACCATAAAAATACCTTATTGAGCGAAACCTACGATTTGTATTCAACATAGGATGATTTAGGTTAGTCATTGTTAATAATTTTTCCCATTGAAATTAAACCAACATTAGTCAATGCTAATATAAATGTCATCAAAACAAAAAGTATGGATTTTGATTAACATCTTGTTATCATCATGATCAAGAACCACGATCAAGATGCACAAACCTGGAGATTAGTAAAATACCAATTTAAAAGTCGAATAAAGTTATTCAAATTTAATTTATTAACTTAATTAACTAAAATTGTTTGACTGACGATGGCACAGTCAACATTGAGACGTGTTGTTAAGTTAATGATGAGTGATAATTAAATACATAAATTACATCAACAAATTAAATTCAAGTCTCATTACTCTTAAAATTATCATATCATGTTTGAGACTTAGGATTTTTTGACCAAGAAGCAAAGACCATCTCGTGAGGCAGTAAATAATCAAACAGTAATGTTAAGTTGTTTAAGTTTTAGAACTAAATTTAGAACTCAAATGACATGAAATCATATTATTTGAAGTCTTTATTGAGTTTCAAATGATATATTATAAAAAAATTTATATTAACTGCCGTGTCATTTAAGTTTTAAATTTAATCTTAAAATTTGATGAATGTATTATCAAAAGTTGAGTCCAGCGATCACGCTTACCTCTGAAAAACGTTTCAGTCATAAGCAATGGTGTTTCCTGGAAGTAGCTCATTCCTTGTCCTTAAGTCTCTTTCTGTCTCTGTCTCTGTCTCTGTCTCTGTCTCTCTCCCTCTCACTATGGTCAACATTCAAAANATTTTATTATTTTACTTATATATGAAATTAATGTATATATCAAAGGATATATAGACAAAGAGTAATGCTATATGGACTTAAAAATTAGACTTGATAATCTCAACTATTTATTTTAACACAAATAATTAACTTTTCATCGACTTTCCTTCCAATTTTAGAGGGATTAATTTTTATAAGTTGGAAGGAAAGTTTATCCATCTATTTTTTCATAATTTATTAATTCCTTACTAAACAGTATGTTTTATCTATTTCTCAAACTTTCTATGCTTTCAACTTTTTATTCTTTCATTTTTTCATCATACCAAACGAAACATAAGTTCCAGTTACCCTCAAAAATTGTTATGTGATTTCGCAAATATTTTAATACACAACATTATTTTTAATATGTGTCTTTTCATGTACCATAAAAATACCTTATTGAGCGAAACCTACGATTTGTATTCAACATAGGATGATTTAGGTTAGTCATTGTTAATAATTTTTCCCATTGAAATTAAACCAACATTAGTCAATGCTAATATAAATGTCATCAAAACAAAAAGTATGGATTTTGATTAACATCTTGTTATCATCATGATCAAGAACCACGATCAAGATGCACAAACCTGGAGATTAGTAAAATACCAATTTAAAAGTCGAATAAAGTTATTCAAATTTAATTTATTAACTTAATTAACTAAAATTGTTTGACTGACGATGGCACAGTCAACATTGAGACGTGTTGTTAAGTTAATGATGAGTGATAATTAAATACATAAATTACATCAACAAATTAAATTCAAGTCTCATTACTCTTAAAATTATCATATCATGTTTGAGACTTAGGATTTTTTGACCAAGAAGCAAAGACCATCTCGTGAGGCAGTAAATAATCAAACAGTAATGTTAAGTTGTTTAAGTTTTAGAACTAAATTTAGAACTCAAATGACATGAAATCATATTATTTGAAGTCTTTATTGAGTTTCAAATGATATATTATAAAAAAATTTATATTAACTGCCGTGTCATTTAAGTTTTAAATTTAATCTTAAAATTTGATGAATGTATTATCAAAAGTTGAGTCCAGCGATCACGCTTACCTCTGAAAAACGTTTCAGTCATAAGCAATGGTGTTTCCTGGAAGTAGCTCATTCCTTGTCCTTAAGTCTCTTTCTGTCTCTGTCTCTGTCTCTGTCTCTGTCTCTCTCCCTCTCACTATGGTCAACATTCAAAATGTTTTACCCTGACTAGAGACGCCCTTATCTAAGGATTCAAGATGAGGCTGGTTCTTCCTTTTCTTCACAAAAGACTGGAGAGAGCAGGAGTGATCACCACCCAAAGCCAAGCATGAGTGATACAACACCAGCTTTTACTGAATGGTTACAATTCTATCAAACAACGCAGCCTAGCCCGGAGGTCCCTCTGTCTGGACTCTCAAATGCTACTGCAGTGGTCACAAGCCCCACCGGAGAAAACAAGATGACCCCAGTCACCCCACCCACTTCAATAACAGGTGGTGGCGATCTGAGCCCCAGGGCCAGCATAGGAAAACCGGCCCGAAGAAGGTCTAGAGCTTCGAGGAGGACACCAACAACCCTCCTTAATGCCAGCGCCACCAATTTCCGAGCACTTGTACAACAATTTACTGGCTGTCAGAGTTCATTCTCTTCTTCATCTGGGTCTCAGAGTGGTCCATTCAACTTGAATTTTGCAGCAACTAATGAGCAGAATTACTATGGTACAACTTCCACGACGGCCACCTCCGGGCTCAACCATTATAGTCAACCAAATCCGTGGCACGAACAGCAGCATCAACAACAACAACAACAACAACAACTGTATCCGAACCAACGTTATATGTTCTCATCTGTCAACAATAACAATGATGCCGTTCCTTCAGCATATGGTAACCCTACACCTAATACATGGAGTTCACACAACTATGTTATGGCGAATAATCCTTCACATGAACTTGCTGGAGATTCTACTTTCAATGGAGAGAGGAATGATGATCACTCCAGCTTTGGATGTTGGGATCAGGCATTCAGTCGTCATTAATCACTGCAGCTTCCGGTATTGGTGATGTAAATTTTCATCTTTTCCCATTCTTTGCATGTGGGATAAAGTTTCGCATATTAAGTCTTCCTAATCCAGCAACAGTGGGAATCTCCTACATTAGTTGTTTTTTGTTTGGACTTCACAAGTCTTTTCTGTTAACCAATTTAATGTACGTTATTCTAAGAGGTCTCTTAAAATTGTTTCATCTCTTCTATGTCTGTATAAGTACCAGGGGTGGCCAAGATAATTCGAGGCCTAAGAGGCAAATCTAAATGATGCCTTTTATTTTTATATTAATATTTTTTATTTAAAATTTATATTTCTCAATTTTTAATATACAAAAGTATTAATTAAATATCTTAATTGAAGTGTTTTTTTTTTTTTGTAAAATTTCCTTAAAAATTTTCAATTTAAAAAAAATTAAAACATCAATTTGATAAAAACTATCATGTTGCAAANCTTTTCCCATTCTTTGCATGTGGGATAAAGTTTCGCATATTAAGTCTTCCTAATCCGGCAACAGTGGGAATCTCCTACATTAGTTGTTTTTTGTTTGGACTTCACAAGTCTTTTCCTGTTTACCAATTTAATGTACGTTATTCTAAGAGGTCGCTTAAAATTGTTTCATCTCTTCTATGTCTGTATAAGTACCAGGGGTGGCCAAGATAATTTGAGGCCTCAGAGGCAAATCTAAATGATGCCTTTTATTTTTATATTAATATTTTTTATTTAAAATTTATATTTCTCAATTTTTAATATACAAAAGTATTAATTAAATATCTTAATTGAAGTGTTTTTTTTTTTTTGTAAAATTTCCTTAAAAATTTTCAATTTAAAAAAAAATTAAAACATAAATTTGATAAAAACTATCATGTTGCAAAAAAAAAATTGAGATTGAAAAAATATTTTTAAAATATCATGGTCTAATTATTTTAATTTAAAATCTGTTCTTTAGTGAGAAAATAAATGTTACATGAGAACAGATATTCAAGTAAATAGGGAATGAAAGAGAGGGTGTTCGTGTAATGTGAGGGGAGAGAGAAAGAGAGGTGAGATAGAAATATGTTTGAAACTTTTTAGTTGTTTGTGTTTGTTTCCACTGTTTGTGGGGAGAGAGAGAGAGAGAGAGAGAGAGAGAGAGAGATTCGAGTTGACATTTCATTAGGTTTTTTTTTTTCAAAAACTATTTTTTTCTTNAGAGAGAGAGAGAGAGAGAGAGAGAGAGATTCGAGTTGACATTTCATTAGTTTTTTTTTTTTTTTTCAAAAACTATTTTTTTCTTTTTTGGGTTTTGAAAATTGTGGATTGGATTGATGGACCCAATCTAATTTGTTTAATTTGGGTTGAACTTATATCCTAACAGGCTTTTTTTGTAGGCTTGAATTGTTATATATTTAAAAGTTTTTGATTTGGGCTATTTTTGTACTTACGAATTATGAGGCCCTATTATATTTGAAAGTGGGGCCTAACATTAATCCATAAGCATACACATTTTTCAAGAGTCAATATCTTAGTAAATATTCTCTTCCAAATCCGCTTATCTACGGAATTTTGATGAGATCTAGAGCACTACTACTGATATGATCGTAGCCTAATCCATCAACATACAACGTATCTTCATCCGTTTCAAAGATTATTACTTGCCTAAAAAATATATCCAAACTCTATGCTTTATATACACCGGATAGACCGACTTCTAATCAATACAATTTTTTTCCTCGTTGATTAATACAATTGCTTAATGTATATTAGCATATCGGTGATTGTATTGTTCAATAGCTAATTAAGTTCATGTAGAATTACATGTGCTTTAACATACATTCTATAATATATAAAACAATCAAATTCTTAGGAGGGGATTGAGAACCCTTTCCTCCAATTATTCTAATTGTTAAGAATTTTGAACTAATAAATTGTCCATCCTTCAATCATATTCTACAAATGTCTCCAATAACTACCCTAACTAACTGCTTATAAACTCTCTCTAACCACCACTTATTTTATATACTTTTTAAAAATAAAATTTTATAATTTAATAATTCCTACAATATTCTTGCTAACTTATTATAAAATAATGGGTAAGAGAGAGTAAAGGATGAAGAAAAGAAATGAGTGGAGAAGGGATGGCCAATTGTGATGTAGACCCCCAGTCCAGAAAGCCTCAAAATCCATTTTGTTGGACAGATAGATAACACTTTTGGAAATGAAGGATCCCAAGCCATGCCTGGTCCTTCTCTTAGTTGTGTTCCTTACCCCTCCCATCCGTCAGTACAAAAAAGGAAAAGAGAACGTTGATGGAAAAAACTGGTACCTTTGATTGGCAATGATATGACTAATCGCGATTGCCTTCCCCGTATTACAGGCATAATGAATTACTAAGAGGATCTGGACACGGATATGTTACCGGCCTAAGTTTTTCCGCATTCATGTCAATAATATTTGAGTCTTAGAGGTTGAAGAAGTCTTTATACATACTCTGGGTAGTTTCCTTGACGATGACCAGTAGAACTGGGGTCTAAGTGAAATCTCTAGAAAATCTTCTTAGATGGTGCTCTATAACTTTATACCTTAACTCCAACCTCACAATGCCAATCCACGATTTGAGATTGGTTAGTGCAAATGAGAACTCAATTTTTTATATAGTCCTTTGGTCTTATAATGTGTGGCTAGCATCGATGCATGTGTAATTTATCTCTGGTGATATGGATGGAGTTGATGAAGTAGTGTAATTTATCTCTGGTGATCTGTGCAGATTAGTTAAGAATTCTCTCATCTGCAGACTATGCTTCTTCAAGGATGTCCAATACTATTGAAAGAGAGAGTAAAATACGATCTTGTTCCATGGAAATTATCCAGCACAAAGTACGATTATATGGTTTATGACATGATTGATAACGGTAGGAGATCCTTCTCAAAGATCTAAGAGATGAGTTACGTCTCAAACTTCATGCAGATATTGGTCAAATTTTGATCTCAAGAAAAATGGAAGAGATAAAACATTCCCATTTCTAATTTTTCACCATTCCTTAAACACAATAGTTGATGAACTTAAATGCTCCATCATTAAGATCTACTAGTTTTAGTACATATATATATATATATATTTTTTTTTTTTTGTGAGTGAAAAATATAAATCACTTCCTGTATATTTTACTCAATTTTAATTAATGGTAGATTGACAACTATGTAGTGGGACCCACTAATGTATAACCTATGGTACGAGGGCAATGTTTTACTAGAATCCAAAAAGGAACAACCACTTGAATGTTTGGCATTGAGAAGAACGAAGTGAAAATGTATTTTAGAAGATGCAAATCCATGGGAAAAGCAAGGCGCTGCTTCAGGACATTTACTTGTACAAAATCTGAGTGTTGGGCAAATCAGTCAAAGTTGTGAATAGAGACTATTGCAAATTGAAATAACGTTCAAAGAGTCATGAAGAAGCCAGCATTTTCCACTCAACATAATTTTCTGCCAGAATGCAGGCAACAGCTTGACTTAGAGTGACAAAAGGGCAAAGGTGTAGGGGATGAATTTGGGTCCATTAGAATCTTTCTTGCTTTTATGACTGGCTTATTATATCTTTCCTTTGGCCAAAATTTTCGGCTGACACATTCATGCTTTCAAAATACCTGATGACTTTCGGCAATTCAAAATTACCGTCCAGCCAATCTTAAGTTTTAAATAATTCATATATCTTACTGTAGTTTACTTTAATTTCAATGTTAATATCTATATTTTTAACTCTGTAAATTAAGCCCTTCAACTTTCAAGTGTGCTTTCATTGAGACCAATGCATAATTTATTTTCCAATTGATTACTAATATGGAAAATAGGAAGTGGCAAACGAACTTGTTTCCAAGAAAAAAAATTGGCACATCTATCATTTCCCTACATCTGTCATCTATCATTGAATTCTAGTTAAAGGTAAAGTAAATCAACTTTTGCATTGTGACTGGCCAGCACCGCCATAGAAACCACTTTTTCAGTGATCTATAATTTTTCTTGAAATCAGTTAATTGTTGTTTCTCTAAAAAATTTTGTTATCGATGGAGTAAACTTGACCGATAGATAATTTTCAAGTAATTTGTTTGTGATGGGTTCAATTGTCTAATTTCTGAACTTTCTTGGATGAAATTTAAGGGGACAATCGCACAATACAATGAACTCAAAAAATAAATTTTCTTAATTAATCCAGTCAAAGAGATTTCAAATATAGAAAAAAATGAATTAGCAGCCTTAATTATAGCAGTAATTATTTTCTAAAACTAATCTAAAAACTACTTCTAAAAATGTCCAGATCGTGGGTCTTATGGGAGGTTTGAATGTGCCCTACAACTTCTCCATTGTCTGTCTTTTATAGCCACTATCTTCGACAGTTCTATCTTCATCTACGATTATCTAGNAAACTAATCTAAAAACTACTTCTAAAAATGTCCAGATCGTGGGTCTTATGGGAGGTTTGAATGTGCCCTGCAACTTCTCCATTGTCTGTCTTTTATAGCCATTTATCTTCGACAGTTCTATCTCCATCTACGATTATCTGGCTAGTAACTCCCAAGTAGTTACTTCTCCTTTTAAAACAAGGTTGTAGCTGATCATTTCTCACCTTTCTTCAAATTCTGCCACTTGGCCTTCTCTTCACGCCTTTAGATTTGCAAGATGTCAATGTATCTAGCATTCCTATATTTTATATTTTAGATCCAACAATGTCCCCCTCATTTAATTGGATNTTGTAGCTGATCATTTCTCACCTTTCTTCAAATTCTGCCACTTGGCCTTCTCTTCATGCCTTTAGATTTGCAAGATGTCAATGTATCTAACATTCCTATATTTTATATTTTAGATCCAACAATGTCCCCCTCATTTAATTGGGTTTAATCTTAATTAACTCAAATAAATGGACAACCGTGACTGTTGTTCTCTTTAAACACCTATTTAAAGGATTTGATGGCTGAACTATTCACTTTACCTTTGCTTTCTTTTGCTTCATTCTCTCTTGTGATTCTCTTCCTAACAGTCTATATGGCTCCAAAGAAACATAACCGTTCATCGTCAACCTCCTCTTGAATCCCTTTTTTGCCAAGATTCTCCATTGAAATTAAGCAAACCACACATGACTCTATAGATCAAAGGGTTTTTGTTCCTACCCC